TGCACAGCTATCATAATTTGCGTCCATGCGGTATAGTTAAAGCTAACGTTCTTAATCTTGGTAAAAAATATTCCAAGAGAATTAATAATTTAATGTTATAACTATACTGTCTATCAATTGCAATAATTTAGCATGTAAGTACGTCTTGCTACACAAATATGCAAAACATCACAACACAATTTTCATCTATCCCATCCGCATCCAAAGAAAAAAGATAAAGAATGTAAAAGTTGAAGTTTGATATGTGTACGAGCTTCCCTGATTAAAGTTAATCCGTTCTGTGTCACGTATGATATTAGTATTGTTCGAAAGCTATTTTATTTATGTATAGGTATTTGCCGATCGTTCTCGTCAGCTGATTTTAGTGACTGGTAGAAACATCGTTGTTAATATCGAAATAACAATTTTTCGTGGAAGAGAAGTTTCTTTAATGTAATTCAATGTGTGATAGGTTTTTGTGTTATGATAAATAGGAGCAGTACTAAAATGCTTATATTATGTAATAATAAGACAATAATTAATGCTTGTTAATATTGTTATCAAACCAAAGTCGCCGTCTCATTAGATTATTTGAACAATTTCAACATCTGAGATAAACACATTCAGTTATATTGTCTGCAACTAGGTAGTTTAAGATGCGAGAGTTATTATAAATAATGTAAAGTATTTTTACCTTTACTGGCTAGTTTACAGTAGAGGCGCTCGTTGATATAGAATTCAAAAGTTATGTATAGTCTTAACTCTACAGTCTTTTGACGCTTGGCTATATCGATTTGAATATGGTGAGGTGTCCTCTTTTTTTGTCCCAAAACACAAATTACATAACTCAGCGATAACCGTCGTGTAGAAATATTAACGAACCAATGCACTATAAACATAGAGTTTAATAACGTATCATATTCTATGTTTCTCTAAATCTTTTCAAGTGATTGCTAAACACGTGCCATCTTGTTACATTAATTCGCAGGTCAGTTCGATGCAAGATGATGTTACTTTGCTTTATTTTGATTAGTCTAGACTTTCATTAAAATTGGTTTGACCATAATAATACTTGTAAAATTTAACCCGATGATATTTTTACTTTCACAAGCATATTTTATATCGGATACTGTTCAATGTTTAAAACTCTATTTGCATATATCCTTCCTTTTTAAAATTAACCTCCTTGCTTTAACTCAAATATGGAAATACAATGAGATAAAATGGTATTATGTCTGCCGTTCAATCAAGAAAACAAAGCAAAAATGAGATGAGCAGATTATTTCAATGACCCCAACACCAATCATACTGACGGTCTGCATCCCCTATAGCTAATGAAAAAATCACGAATAAAATGAGTGACTTTATTACGCACACGGTTTAGACTTAAAATAATTTAGCGATAAAGAATTTCGCTTTTCTTACCATACACAGCCTATACGATAAAAATATCTTACAAGAAATTTCTTATTGTTTTATATTACAAGTTGTCTCACATATTGTCCTCCACCCCTAGTAGTTTTGTATTATTTTTCCGCTGCATCAAGAGAATCCGCACACTCGCTATTCATTTTCACCAAGTTTTTTAATTCATCGATATGATTACTCAGATAAATTGATGTACTGTCAGTTTTTTTATAATTAACAAGTAAATTCGAGAATGACGGACCATAGATTGCTTCACTCTGCACAACAGAAAAAGGTATTCGTTACTGTGCATGCTATTCAAACATTACAAAAATCACAGTGTAGACATTGTATATTGTTGGCTTACCTCTGCGAGGTTAGCAATTTGCTGCATTGTCTTGGTCAAAACATCGACCAACGTTTCGATTTTTCCAATTCTCAACGACAGCATCTTCATCGACCGTCTTGTGGTTCGACATTTAGAGCAGATTTTGCGTTGTCTGCAATTTTTCGATCGCACGTCTGTGTACAATGGCGGCGACAACGTAGCGGACGTTGGTCGCATGTGAGGTTTCGTCATTTCCGAGTCGATTACGTTCGAATTACAGTATATATAACAGAAATAAAGAGTATAATTTGTTAAAGTTACTGATGCTTTGATGCGATTAAGTAATTCTGATACGCTTTAAGTTGTTGTTTATTTGAGTATACTATGCAATTTCACTCTTTTTTGATATACAGGGTTTTTACAAAATTTTTGTCGTCTGTTCTCCGTTTCAATTTAAATATAAATATGTGAATCACAAATTTCTAAGCGTTTCCCGCCCGCAAATAAGCTCCGACAATCTTTCTTACGTTGTTCTACAAACCATTTTGTATCCGGTATGGAATTAACGACTCCCGCATGACCTGTGGCTTATTCTCGCAGAGGTCCGAATAATAAGTATTAGTATAATCAATTGAAACAACAATCAATCTACACAAATGGTGGCAATAATAAGCGCAACTGAATAATATTATTGTCGTTGTATTATAAGACCTAAACTTTTTGTCTACGATTGACAAAAAATCTCAGCCACTTTGTTGCTTTTATTTGTGAATCAATGGTTGGCTTTAATGGTAAAGACAGACTTGACCGGATTGGGCCGATAAAGCGTCAAGCGGCTTTGATCTCCGACCGAACCGACAAGCGTACTAAGAATATGTTTTCATTGTCTTTACCGGATGTGGGATTTGTTCCCCATTTT